AATTTGTTAAGATTTAAAAAAAATGAAATTTCCATGGAAACACACAAAAGCTCATGCATGTTCTATTTTAAAACAAATTACTCAAATGTTACGAAACAATTGTGTGAGGTAACGAGATTCAAAATTAACTAATTTGTTAAGATTAATAAAAAAAATGAAATTTCCATGGAAACACACAAAAGCTAATGCACGTTCCATTTTAAAACAAATTACTCAAATGTTACGAAACAATTGTGTGAGGTAACTACATTTAAAATTAAGTAATTTGTTAAGATTAAAAAAATGAAATTTCCATGGAAACACACAATAACTCATGCATGTTCTGTTTTAAAACAAATTACTCAAATGTTACGAAACAATTGTGTGAGATGCGCCAGGTAACTAGATTCAAAATTAACTAATTTGTTAAGATTTCAAAAAAAATTAAATTTCCATGGAAACACACAAAAGCTCATGCATTTTCCATTTTAAAACAAATTACTCAAATGTTACGAAACAATTGTGGGAGATGCGCCAGGTAACTAGATTTAAAATTAAGTAATTTGTTAAGATTTCAAAAAAAATGAAATTTCCATGGAAACACACATAAGCTCATACACGTTCCATTTTAAAACAAATTACTCAAATGTTACGAAACAATTGTTTGAGATGCGCCAGGTAACTAGATTTAAAATGAACTATTTTGTTAAGATTAATAAAAAAATGAAATTACCATGGAAACACACAAAAGCTCATGTATGTTCTATTTTAAAACAAATTACTCAAATGTTACGAAACAATTGTGTGAGATGTGCCAGGTTACTAGATTTAAAATTAATTGATTTGTTAAGATTTAAAAAAAAAATGAAATTTCCATGGAAACACACAAAAGTTCATGCACGTTCTATTTTAAAACAAATTATTCAAATGTTACGAAACAATTGTGTGAGATGCGCCAGGTAACTAGATTTAAAATTAATTAATTTGTTAAGATTAAAAAGAAATGAAATTTCCATGGAAACATACAAAACCTCATGCACTTTCCATTTTAAAACAAATTACTCAAATGTTACGAAACAATTGTGTGAGATGCGCTAGGTAACTAGATTCAAAATTAACTAATTTGTTAAGATTAATAAAAAAAATGAAATTTCTATGGAAACATACAAAACCTCATGCACTTTCCATTTTAAAACAAATTACTCAAATGTTACGAAACAATTGTGTGAGATGCGCCAGGTAACTAGATTCAAAATCAACTAATTTGTTAAGATTTCCATGGAAACACACAAAAGTATAATTCGTATGAGGAATTGTGTGCAGCATTGATTTTATTGGTCGAATATGTTTATTTCATCTCAAATCGTATCATCCTCGGGATTATTATTATTAGGTTCAATAAAGTGCTCATAAAAGTGAATTGTTTCTCTCTGTGTAGTAGAATAAATAACATAATCAACTTTGATGCAATTTCCTCCATCCCTTATATTTGCACACTAATAAAAACAAATGCACGTAACCGAAAACAAAGAAAGTGTATAAGAAATTGCGTATGAACAGGATTAAGGAAATTTGCGTTTCCCCCCTAGTTCTTCTTTTTTTTTTTCATTTAAGTTTTCATTAAAATCGCGTAGATTAACGCCTATGTCTAAGCCACAGCTTAATCTTTCTAATTCTTTGACCTTTCCTTTTCTTGCACCAAAATTCACAATCTTTTTTTGCAGTATAAAATATGTTCTTATTTAGTAAAACTAAAAACGTTGATTAAATAACAACAATTTCTTATTTTTCTTTTATATTTCCTTCAATTTATTTATAAATTTAGTTGTAGAAAAGAAACGGAATCAATTTACGAATCTTTCGGTCTCTGCGGTTTTCGCGTGTCGCGTAATGAAAATTGAGTTTTCCAGGGAATTGCTGCATGTAAACTGTTGATTAGGGCTCATTAAGATAAGGCGATTACGAATGTTTCTATTGCAAGACACAAAACACCATGTTTATTTGTGTACGTTTTGTATTGTGTGTTTAAAATGCAGATGCAGTGCACACGATAAATGGCAATTCGAATATAATCAACTTTTACTAACGTATTTCATTTGTTGTGACTTTTGTACTTTTTTTTTTTTGTTTATGGACATTTGCATTTTTTTTTGTGTAAATCGGATGGGCAATTGAGCCCTTCGGCCCGTTTCATTTTACACGCCCATAAAACGACACCCCATTCGAAACAGATTCTCATTTGCAAATACGCGCACGATTTATTCCGCATTCACGTTCGTAATAACTGGATTGAGCACTCGGATAAAAACTGCGAATATGTTTTATTGTTTAACATATTGACATTTATTTAAGTTGGTAACAAAGTACAATTACAACTGTCAAATCTGATTAAAAAAATACCAGCTGTTATTTTAGTTGAATTCTCATTGGATATTAAACTACCAGTTGTCACTTTAGTTGAAATGTCATTGGATATTAAACTACCAGCTGTCACTTTAGTTGAAATCTCATTGGATATCAAACTACCAGCTGTCATTTTAGTTGAAATGTCATTGGATATCAAACTACCAGCTGTCATTTTAGTTGAAATGTCATTACAAATTTTACTATTGTGTCATTACAAAGTTTACTATTTTTTTTTCTTAATTAGTAAATTTGTTAAAAGTGAAATCTTCTGTTGTGACCTTGAACTAGCGTAATTACACAAGATCAGCATATATTCCCAAATCCATCGCTACTTCCCGTAATTCACAGCCAATCGCACTCTTTATTTACGTAATTAACCGTGAGATAAGTTGATGAGATTGATACTGACTTTCTGTGATAACATTTTGTATGTGAATCATTAAATTTTGGCAGATTAATCTCTTGGAATAATTAGATTCGCAACTGTTAAAACAAAGGACAAAGTAAAGAAAAAAACAAAAACAAAAGCTGTAGTTTATATACATTACCTAATAGTTGATAATAAGTAATTCCTTTTGTCCCTTATTTAAACCTTTCATTAAATTTATGGCGCACGCCAGGTACACGTCCTTATCAAGATCCCATTGGAAACAATGGAACTATCGCAGGAGGCGGCAATTAAACAAATTACATCCTTCGCTCTAATTGAAATATCCATTACACTATTCTATTATATTATGTTTTTTTTTTCAGTAGTATATATTTTTTTTTGTTGTTTGGTATTATTGTCGATGATGCAATCAACACGACAAATCCAACCTTATAATAGAAAATTTGATTCAAAAAGTACCAACTACTAAAAAACTAAAGTAAAGTAAAAATTAGTGCCTTTATATTTTTACATATTTCTCCAGAACTACAATAGTTACAACAATGTTTGAATATAAATATTGAAGCTATAAATATAAGGAATGAAACTAGTATAGATTCATTATTGTGACTTTATTATATTTCCTGGAATTAGGACTCTAAATTGACAATACTTTTCATGAATCGAGTAAAAAAGTGTCTTTACATTTTTAAACATTTCTCCAGAACTACAATATCTACAGTAATGTATGAATATGAATATTGAAGCTATAAATATAAGGAATGAAACTAGTATAGATTCATCATTGTGACTTTATTAGATTTCCTGCAATTAGTACTTTAATTTGACATTACTTTTCATGAATCGAGTAAAAAAGTGTCTTTACATTTTTACATATTTCTCCAGAACTACAAGACTTACAACAATGTATGAATATGAATATTGAAGCTATAAATATAAAGAATAAAACTAGTATAGATTCATCATTGTGACTTTATTAGATTTCCTGCAATTAGTACTTTAAAATCACATAACTTTTCATGAATCAAGTAAAAAAGTGTCTTTACATTTTTAAACATTTCTCCAGAACAACAATACTTACAACAATGTATGAATATGAATATTGAAGCTATAAATATAAGGAATGAAACTAGTACAGATTCATCATTGTAACTTTATTAGATTTCCTGCAATCAGTGCATTAAAGTCACATAACTTTTCATGAATCAAATAAAAAAGTGTCTTTACATTTTTACATATTTCTTCAGAACAAATATAAGGAATGAAACTAGTATAGATTCATCATTCCAAATACTTTTCATTTTATGAATGATGTTGAATGATTCGAATCGATCGATACAACGAAATGTTTGATTGAATCGAACTGCTCCATTTGAGTTTCTTATGAATAAAGTAATCTTTTCATCGGTTTTCCAGCAGACCGCAACGGCCCTTCTCAAATTGACCTACATGACTTCCATTCAATGTTCAATTCAGAAGCAGAAGGAAGAAACGTACACCTTTACACGAAAAAAAAAATAAAAGCAAATATGTTAATTATAGCCATGAATTGAATTGGACTAATCTTCATTTATTTTTACATTATTTGAAATCAAGCAATTTGTTTTTTTTTTTTTGGTGATTTTTAGTAATTTAGTAATGTTTATGAATTGTCGCCAACTTTTTTAATGAAAAAGAAAAACAAACAAACTATTGAAGTAAAAATTTGACATTTTGTTTTTTCTTAAAATAAATATTATAAATTTAAGATGATTTATTTTGAAAGATATGTAGAATATGTGATATTTGATTAACTAATCAATTAAATTATTAATTGGCGCCACCTAGTTTAAAACAAAAAACTAATAACTATTATTTGACATTTCGCCTCTGTAACTATAGCAATAAATAAATGAATTGTTTACGTCAGGCATTATCGTGTGTGTGTTTCATTAAACGGTAGTTAAATGTGTTGCGATTTTAATAAAGGCGAGGTAATGAAAAATTATGAAGTGCAGTTATCTTCTGGACGATCGAGTGATTTCGCGCTGGGGATGAGCTGTAAAATCGGGTTTACGAGGTAAAAATTGACGAAAATCATCATCATCATATGAGTACGTGTGTATGTATGTGCGTGTGTGGTGGGATGCGGGGGCGGTGGCGAAGGCGGCGGTGGGGCGGCGCGAATACGGTATAAAGTGTGCGATGATCGGAGGTTCTGGCATAGTCCTCGTCAAAGGTACACACCAGCAAGGCCTACCTGTCTCAACATACACAACCACCAACACCACCATTATAAAACAAAAACCAGAAAGTGCACACATATAAACAAACAGTTTATTTTTTCCAAAGATCGCTGCGATTCATCCAACCGAAATGTGCAACAAGTTGAGCGTCGTCGAAAGGGGTTCCCCGATGCAGCCGATGGCATTAAAATTCGTCAAGATCACACTTGTCTTAGTTTTCTTCTGTTTCGCCGAATGCGCTGCAGGTAAGCAACATTTCGCTAATAGAAACAATTGCACAATTTTAATACGAAAAACTGTCAATTAATTCATTTGTTTCGAATTTGTTTTATAACCAAATTTCAATATAAAACATCTTTTATTAAACAAAAGAAGAAGAAAAAAAAATTGAAATCGTCGTCTAAGAGACAATTTGCGAAAGAAAAAAGGAAAAGTTTGTATATATTTACAATAGAATTGAAAAATTTTAATTAAAAAAAATTATAAAAAAAAAGTGCAAAAATGACTAGTTTAATTAGAAAATGAGCGCAAAATAAATTATTTGAAAATAATTGTTGCAAATTGTATAATTATGCTTTTTAATTGAAATCAAATAATTGAAACGCTCATAAATATTGATGGATTCGTAATTTTTGTTACGTCTCACGAAAGTTTAATTGTAATATTTATAATTACTGTTAATTTTGATATGCATTTTTAATATTTACGAACTTTTAATATGTTTATTTGAACTGCATTCAAAATTAAAATCAGAAATAATTAGAGCGTGCATGAAATTATTACGCTTATGAAATATTGAGGTGATGAATGGATGCGCCGGGTATATAATTTGTGTGCTAACTGTAATAAAGTGTAAAACCTGTGCTTATTAACGTTTTAAGATAACTTTTGCAGTAGTTTAATGAAAAATTAAATTAAAAGTAAATTGTAATATATGTACGATGTTTGCATTTGATAAGTGAAATCCATTGATTGTTGTGGATTTGGAATTGTAATTGTTTAATTAAGATTTTTTGAAGAAATGAAAAGTTAATGAATGTGATTTTGGTAGTAAAAACTGCGGAGATTTCTCGACTTTAAGGATCGCGTTGGCGTTTATTCTTTTTAGTAAATTGCGCAGCTCTGATTGTCGTAAAATGCGAAGGATAAAAGTTTCCGAGTAATCCTCGTGCAGAGCAATGATAAATTGGTACTAATTCGATGCGGTGGTCGGTTTTCTGATTCTCTGTCTGCGTTTAGGGCAGGGCCATCAGGAGCGCGGTTTCGATTCGGGGATTCGGCGATGGGGGCCTTCGACGGCCAACGGAAAGACCCGCACCTTGAGGCTGCGTACCTGGAAGAGCCGAGGTATTTCTTGCAGAAAAGATAGAAATTTTTCGAAAAACTAAAATCGATCGTGTGAGCCGGGTAACGCGAACCGATTCCTACAAAACAATAACAACAACAACAAAAATAATTGAATAAAACAAGGATGCGTTTGTTTTCATTCAACGCACTCTGCATATGTTTTCAATTTACACGATACGTGCACGGAAATAGGACGCGCAACAACAGAACGAAACGGGTTAATTAATAACGAATTAATGAAATTAATTAACGTTAACTAATTGCACAAACGCTCAAATAGAGAAGAGGAAGGCATTTCTTGTTTACGTGCCCGAATTGTTTTTTTTGTTGTTGTTGTTGTTGTTCAATTTGAGATTGTCCGCCCATGCAAATATTAAGAATAATTGCGTTTTTCATGCGAGACGCGTGATTTGCCTCGGGTTGTTTGTACGTTTCATCAAACGCGTCGCTTGAAGATGAAGAAGTGATGAATGTTAGATTAGATTTTATTACGAATTGAAATTAATTTAAACAAAAATATTTCTCTTTAGATTATTTTTTCTTTGTTCAATTCGAAGAAGAAGAAAAAAATAAAGGCGAATACAAAAGTTAACAATGCAAAAGTTTTGTAAAGTTTGCTCTGCTATTATTGGGAAATTCTTCTTCGTTTCCGGTGTTGCGGCCTCCGGCAACTTTCCGAGCGAGCCTCGACCGCATAATTAATCGAGTGATAAAGTTTATTAATTGCGATGCAATTACAGTATGCGCAGAGTGCAAAATTTTCAAAGTTGCGGTAATGGTTTCAGGTTTTCGTGAAATTTTTGGATGTACTACGAAATCAATTCTTTGTCGCGGTCGCAAATTTTTATGTTTTTAAACTTGGGAAGCGTGAAATTCGGATTTTAGAGATCGCACGTATCGCCGTTAAAATACGTGACCTTTGATTGGAGCTCTCGATCGTTTCAGTTTGTTCAGTAAAAATTTCGTAATTCAAGCAGCAATCATCTTTTTAGTATCTCAAAAATTCAGACTTATTTACTAAATTATCCATGACTTTGATTTCCTTCAGCTTTTGTTCCCCAATAGAAATATTTAAAATTTACTCAATTATTTATGTCTTCTTGATGTTAGCAAACTATAAAATATAAAAAAAGTAATTATAAATAACTATTTACAGTAATTAAAGAGTTTTCTAATTAAGAAATTGTATTGTTTTAATTATATAATTTGAGTTATTTGAAATTGAAACAGTAACGTTTCTTTTATGACAGTTTGTAATTTGTGTTACAAATTGGACAGACCTTTCCCACGATCGTTTCAGTTTGTTCAGTAAAAATTTCGTAATTCGAGCAGCAATCATCTTTTTAGTATCTCAAAAATTCAGACTTAAATACTAAATTATCCATGACTTTGATTTCCTTCAGCTTTTTATCCCAATAGAAATATTTAATATTTACTCAATTATTTATGTCTTCTTGATGTTAGCAAACTCTAAGATATAAAAAAAAAGTAATTAAGATAAAACTATTTACACTAATTAAAGAGTTTTCTAATTAACAAATTGTATTGTTTTAATTATATAATTTGAGTTATTTGAAATTGAAACAGTAACGTTTCTTTTATGACAGTTTGTAATTTGTGTTACAAATTGGACAGACCTTTCTCTCGATCGTTTCAGTTTGTTCAGTAAAAATTTCGTAATTCGAGCAGCAATCATCTTTTTAGTATCTCAAAAATTCAGACTTAAATACTAAATTATCCATAACTTTGATTTCCTTCAGCTTTTGTTCCCAATAGAAATATTTAAAATTTACTCAATTATTTATGTCTTCTTGATGTTAGCAAACTCTAAGATATAAAAAAAAAGTAATTATAAATAACTATTTACAGTAATTAAAAAGTTTTCTAATTAAGAAATTGTATTGTTTTAATTATATAATTTGAGTTATTTGAAATTGAAACAGTAACGTTTCTTTTATGACAGTTTGTAATTTGTGTTACAACTTTTTGTAAATCGAAAAATCTAAATTTTGATGTTTTTTTTTTTTACAACTGTTGCTGCATGGACAGCAGATGTTAATTCTATGTGATGTGCAGATAGATTGATTTTAGGCGATTTGATTGCGGCTTTAACGTGCACACATCCTCATCATCATCATTATTTGGAGACAACTGGTTGGATGATCTGGAATTAATCTTCCGATTAAACGCGACAAAAATTCATTGTTAAAACAGAGAGTTCCTTCGTCCGTTGATACGGAATGAAAATGGGTAAAAATATCAACAAAACGGAGCGGAAATGTATTTGGAATTTAATTGATTCGAGCGCGTCTCGTGTTACAACAACTGTTGGGTTGGGTTTCTTTTTTTTTTAATTGTGTAATGATATTACGTGTATTCTATTGTTTCATGAGTTTTCTCTCTCTTGTTTTTTTGCAGGATCCTGTATAAGCTACGGACACGCTTGCTGGGGAGGTGAGTTGATTCTTCTGCTGTTGAAATTTGTTTTATTATTGTTGTTGTTGTTGCGATTTACTCAGGACACGGAAAGAGGAACGGTGGAGCCATCATCAAGGCTGGTGATCTGTCTTCGAACGATCTTCCCAACGACACCAAATGGTTCCTGGCTAAACTTCTGAAGGGATCTGCAGGTACTTCTAAGATGGTCAGAAGCTCAGAACTCGTCGCTCCCGCTTCTGCCGATAAGCAGCAGTATTTCGATGAATCTCCCGACGTCGACGATATTAAAGGGTAAGTTTCGGTTTTGCAAATATTCCACATATTCATTGCAACAGGCGCTCCGAAAATATCGTTTTTAATTAAAAACCCGGACAAACATCGATTTGCAATTTTCACATTTATACAATTTCAAATAAATTCGTGCTAGTTTCTTCAAACTAAATAAAATTGGAATATAATTAAATCGAGAATTATTACTTCCAAGTAAATTCATACTAAAAATTTGTATTAATTACATGTTAAATGCTAAAACTAAATACGTAACTTTAATTCTTAATGAAGAAATTTGAATAATTTTACTTGATCCAAATTTAGATTGTTTGTATTTTACTTTCATTTTTTTCGATAATTTATTCATTAATTCCTAATAATTGTCTATCTAATGCAGTGGTTTCCAAACTTGATGTTACTACTCCTCCCTCAAAAGTATGTAATCATTTGGCGCCTCCCCAAACCACTACATTTCATAAAAGGAACGCGTATTACAGCAATACGGATAAGAACATGGGAATGTATCTATACTTGCTGGATTCCCCAAACATTCAGCTTTCATATGTATATATTGGATTCATTTTATCTATTATAGTTTTCGAGTAAATCAATGAAATGTGAAAACACTGCTTTTTCAAACGTTCTCATTTCAATTTTTAAACTTTGAACGCGTATTACAGCAAAACGGATAAGAGCACATAAATG